CATAAAACATCTGATACCGTATTTCTGAATGCATGTTTATCTGTTTTGGGGTTCACATCTATAGATCTGCAGGAAGAAAAGTTCTTGGAGCAAGATGGGGGCCGTGTGCTTACGTAAGTGATAAGGCACACAGGCCACCAGTCCTGAAGCTAACCTGCACTCCAAGCCTCCTTTCCCAGAACTCTCCAGTCATTTTACAAATAGAAAGACCTCACCTTCCAGCTACAGGTGGAGCTTCCCTGAGCGAAGCAGAGACAAGTAGGCAAAAGAAGGAAAACAGGCAGCAGGAAGAGGAAGAGTTGTGGGATAAAAAAATAAGGAGGTCGGGAAGGCCCTGTGGCTTAGCGGTTAAGTGCGTGCGCTCCGCTACTGGCAGCCCGGGTTCGGATCCCGGGCGCGTACTGACGCACCGCTTGTCCAGCCATGCTGAGGCCGCGTCCCACATACAGCAACTAGAAGGATGTGCAACTATGACATACAACTATCTACTGGGGGTTTGGGGAGAAAAAGGGAAAAAAAAAAATAAGGAGGAGGGAAGAATGGAAAGAAGGGGGAGAGGATAAAAGGGTAAAATAGGATTAGAAAGAAGAGGGGAGGAGTGGGAAAGGAGGAGGAGTGAAAAGGGAAGAGGAAGATTGGGGGATACTGACAGTCTCACACTGAGCAGCGCTGGGCCACTGTAGGTCCAGAGGGGAAGTAGGGGGCTGGCAGGCCCTCCCTCTGACTCTGAGGCAGGGTGAGTAGTAGTGGGGATCAATGTCATTCCTCAGCTCTCAGGACTCAACCACCTTACTACCAACTCGCAATGCCGAAGTAAGGCAAATGGGCCACTGTTCTCATGGCTCTAACATATCCAAGAGGTAGAGCTTAATGGCCAAAGCTATGGAAGTGAATACAACTTCTCTTGGTAACAGTTATTAGCAAAATAGAGAACAAAATAACAAAAACGAACAAATAACTGAATGTTCCCAGCATCTTGACAATCAGCTTTCCTGAAGAAGACCTGTGAGTGCCGCTATTTTGGTTGTCCCACAGTGCTTAGTCCAGTGGTATACCTACCAGACATTCAGTAAATAGTTGGACAGCTGGGGAATCTTAACACGAAGTATTGTTTTGGTTGGGGTGCGGGGGCACAGAAGAACGTTTAACCAGTCTCTGCTTTGTGGAGAAAAGGCTGAAGACACAATTAAGACTCCTAGAGTTAAGTCTTATGTTATTTGTTATTAAAGAGCGAGGTCTTAAGATGTGCTTTTTAACAGTCTTTAGTTTGGCTGTAATTTAAGATGACTTTTACAAATTAGATCCTAATCCTTGCAGACACAGATGGCTGTTACAGAATAAGGCTATTCTAGCCTTGCAAAAACATTAGTCATTTGACTTGAAAGAGCATTCAGAGAAGGATGAAGGGCCATTAACTCTCACCCCACCCCTGGCTCTAGGAGGTCTAAAGAGTCCTGGGTGGGCTTTCTGGGTTTAGGTCTAGGTCTGGAATCTGGGTGGGCCTAGGGCATCTGTTCTCATTTGGAACAGCCTCTCTAGTTCACTCTGGAATCAGAGATTTAGGATCAGACCTGAGGTCACTGACATTCAACAACAGTAACTGAATGCTTATATGTGAGGCACCATGCTGGGAACTTCAGGGGAGATAGACATGAACATGATATGGACAGTCTCTGTAAATAATTATAGAATAGGACAAATGCTATGAGGGAAGAATGTACAAACTGCAATGGGTACATGGGTGAGGAGCTTGGGAGAAGGGAGGGTTTCCCAGAGGGGATGACATTTGAGCTGGGCATTAAAAGATGAGTTCAAACCGGCCAGGAAAAGTGGGGAGGGTGGCTATTCAAGGAAGAGAGAACAGGGCACAGAGGCATGAGAGTGTCTTGTGTCTTTAGTGAATAGAGAGCAATTTCATATCTCCTGGTGATGGAAATAAGTAATGAGAGGCAAGACTTAAGGCAGGAAAGGTAGGTATGGAACAGATTGTGAAGTTTTTGAAAACATTCTAGGGGTCTGTACTTATCCTAGGGCAGTAGGGGGCTACTAAAGAGTTTTTTTTTTAACAAGAAAGGGAATGATCAGAGTGGGGTTTTAGAAAAATCACTTTGTGGCAGATAATTGCAGGTTGACCAAGCACCATAAAATGGACCTGTGATGGATATTGGGAAGCTCTTGATTTCTCCTATAGGAGCAAACCTCTGGTTAGACTTTTTCTCTGGAGAACTGGGCCAAACTTGGTCTAAACTGGACTTTGGAGGTAGAAATGGGGTCAGGTGTGGAAGGGACATTGGGAGAAGAGATTATTAACCAGATTTAATAGTGTTCTTCAGCAGTATAAAACAAAGGGTGAATGACTGCACTCTAAATCAAGAGGAAATTTTCTCTAAGACTAAGTGATTGCCCCTCCATTTAGGGCTCATCCATACTGACACGTAACACAGTCTGCACTGAAAAGGCTGCACGCTTAGTCAGCAGAGCTCAAGGCAGGCAGGCAGCAGGCCCAAGAACCCTCTGCACGTCACTTCTCAGTTCCTCTGCTTCTTTACAACAGCAACTTTGCATGGTCCACATTTTTACCCTGTGGGAAGAGGTCATTAATACTGATCATAAACCCCAGCTCCTTTTAAGAGATTCTTCTCCCGTCCCTACTCCCCAGTAATCAGGTTTAAAAATTAATTTGAAAGAAAATAAAGTTTAATTTTAAAAGCCAGGAAGGTCCTTAGACTCCATCTCTTCTAGTACTTTCATTTTACAGATGAGGCCCAGAAGGGGAGTGACTTAAAACCAAGGGTTAGGATCTTAAAAGTTCTCATCAAAAAAAAAAATTTGTAATTATGTGTGGTGATGGATGTTAACTAAACTTATTGTTGTGATCATTTCACAATGTACACAAATATCAAATCATTACTGTGTACACCTGAAACTAATACAAAGTTATATGTCAATTATACCTCGATTAAAAAAAAAACAAAACGCAAGGGTTGGGAGGGACTAATTTAGCTCCTAAGTTTTATAAGTTCTCCAAGGTGAGATGTTCATCATAGAACATAAGTATGAGAACCAGGCTGAGTCCCTTGATAGCAGCTCTTTTCTAAGTGCTCACACATTTAGAGTTCAATTTCAGTGTCAGAATTTAAGGTAGTTTCTTACCTGGCTGTGTGCTGTGTCCACAGAGTATGTGCACACATGTGTTCCCTTGTGAATGTGTGTCTTATATAAGAATAAAGAGAAGAGCTTGGAGCAATAGGCGGGGTTAGTGAGAGAGGGACCAATGGCCAGCACTTGGTGTCCACTTGAGTCTCCTTGGCTTAGACACAGTGGTGGGATCCTCATCCCACCTAGGGGATTTGTGGCTGAGTGGTAGAGCTAAACATATACCATCAGTTTCCGTTTCTATCCTGCAAATCTGATAGCCAGTGTGCTGAACCTTAACCAAATTCTTGGGTGTTGGTGTGTTAGATGAGGTCTAGGTTACTAGACCTCATATTACTAGATCATATAGAATAACAGAATATTAAAATTTAATATGTATCTTACAGGTAAGTTAGTCCAAGCTCCATCCCATAGAAAGTAGGAACACTAGGAATGAATCCTTTTCCATACATATCCATTATTGCTGAAAACGGATCATTCAATAGTGCTTGGTTATCTCCAGTGATTGGAAAATCACTATCTCACAACACAAGGTATTCCTTTCTTAGAAAATTCTTTCTTACATTGGGCCAAATTTGCCTCCTGTAACTTTCAACTCATTGGTTGCAATTCTGTCCTTGGAGCCTTGCAAAGTCAGATCCCTCTTTTTCATGGCAGGTTTTCAAAGCAGCTGAAGACAACAATCCACGTCTCTCCTGGCCTTTCCTTCTTTAGAGGAAATGTTCCTCCAATGATATGATTTCCAGTTCCCTCACCTTCCTACCAGCCCTGCTCTAGACATGCTCCTGTTTCTTCAGGCTTTAGCATGGAGTCTCAGCATGGAGTCTAAGGACTCTTTCAGGGGTAGTTTATCCTAGCATAGAGTTGAATAGGACCATCAAGTTCTCCTCTTGTTGGGATTATATCTCTAAAAATGTAGGTAGCTTTTTGTTGGCAGCCACAACACGTTATGAATGTATATTCAGCTTAATTCAACCATAACCTCTGCTAAAGCATGGTCTTTCCATCCTAAACTTGAATAACTGATTTTCTAAACCTAATGCAGGAATTTTTCTTTCTGTCTATATATTTCTGTGCGATTTCTCTAGGTTCGTTTTTGTCTATTGTTTAAGGTTTTCTTGAATCTTATTTTCCATGATCCATATATCTGATAAAGTGTTCACGTAAGTTGCCAATAAGCATGGTGTGTAATAAAGGATTAAATATAGAACCTCTTGGTTCCCTCTAGGGAGGGGGGAGTCTCTTAGTCAACCCTTTCTGGATGTTACCATTTGATTAGCAATGAATCTACCTAACTGTAGATTTATATTTCTCTACTTTGCCCCCAAACACCATGAGAGACTATCAAATACCTTGCTGAAATACAGATAAACAGTGAATATAGGTCACACTCTGACTTCCCAGGCTAATAAGAACTATCAAATCACAAAATACTCTTGGTTTAGCATGACTCATTCTTAGTGAACCTAATCTTTGTAGTTAGATCCTGATCTAACTACTAAGCTGTTAAGCACACAATTTTCAGATCTAATGTGAAGTATACAGAGATGAGATCTCAGGAAAGCCTGTATGAATGCTGGAATAGGGGAAATAGCTAGGAAGGAAGAAAGACCTAGTACCTAATTTCTTACATAGGCTACTGGCCACATGTCTGCTGGCCTGGGAAGCCATACTTTTCACTAAAGGCTGAGGAGAGAATGGTGTGCAGAACAAAGAAGGACTCCCGGGTGTGTGGTCTTGTAGTAGGCTGCCCCATGGGGCTTTTTTTGGACTACTTTGTCCAGCCCTAATGATGGGATATCTCCCATGTGGCCACACTTCCCAAGACAGGCATGGGAACTTACGTCTCTCCTAGGAAAGGTACTCAGTAACTTGAACTCATCCCATGGAAATCCTTTGGAAGCTACAAAATCAAAGACAATCTGGAGCTTATTGCTGGCCAGGAAACGCCGCTCGAGGAACTCGCCACTGGGGGTCCGGATCCGCAGTTTGCTCACGGGCTCAGCATTTTCTTCCTTTGGCTCTGGAGGCAGGGCCTGCTCTAACGAGAGCCGGATGGCCTAAGGAGGGCAAAAACCAGGTGTTAAACTGTGTGATGGATGGGACTGTGGGGAGCAGGGGAGGGAGAGATGAGAGAAAAGCTGTTGCTTTCTAGAAACTCATCAAAAAGTTATTGGCTGTTTATTAACCAAGACTAATGCTTGAACAATAGAATCATATGTTTTCCACTTTCTTAATATTAGCCCAATAGGCAATTAATTAAAATAAATCCTACCCTTATGACACATATTAAATCGATTGGTAACTACATAGAAAAGAAAGATAATTTAATTTTTTTTAATGAAGGGCTCAGGTATTTGTGATTGAGGAAATAGGTATCAAATACCCAATTGCTTCCTTTCTAAGGCTATTAGAAGCATTGACAAAAGACACACATACACATATATGTACACATAAATACATATATATTATCTTTGAAAAACATACATTTCCCAAGTAGAAATGACTGAAGAGTTTGTAGAACACTGGATAGTGTATTGGCATCAAAACAGAATGGAAAGATTCTGTTTGGGGTGATAAAAATTTTTGGAAATAGATAGTGGTGATAGTTGTACAACATTGTGAATGTAATTAATGCCACTGAATTGTACACTTAAAAATGGTAAAAATGCAAATTTCTGTTATATATATTTTGCTACAACAAATAAAATGGAATGGAAAGAAATTAAAATATCAGGGTTATTTTTTTGTGTGTGAGGAAGACTGGCCCTGAGCTAACATCTCCTGCCAATCCTCCTCTTTTTTGCTGAGGAAGATTGACCCTGAGCTAACATCTGTGCCCACCTTCTTCCATTTTGTATGTGGGATGCCACCACAGCATGGCTTGATGAGCAGCGCATCGGTCCGTGCCCAGGATTTGAACCTGCAAACCCTGAGCCGCCAAAGTGGAGCATGTGAACTTAACCACTATACCACCGGGCCAGCCCCTAAAATGTCGGGTTTATTGCAGGCAGGAAACCACAGTGCTAGTTCTAGCCTTGCCACTAACTTGCTGTGGGATTTGGCCACGTCCAGATTTCTGGACCTAGAGATGGCTCAAACCCTTCATTTTACAGGTAAGTAATACAGACTTAAACAGGTAGAGTAAACTGTGGGGAGATCTCATGGCTAGAGTTGGGCTCAAACTCAGGATTCCCAGTTCTCAACCTGCTGTATTTTGTTGTTTCACATTCATGATACTCCACTGGAAGGAGGGTAGAAGGTCTCTGATGTGAGAATCTATGGCAGAAATTCACTAATACCTTTTCATCTATCTAATACTCTGGGAGGTTCTTTAGGTAAGCAAGTCTGGTATTAGCAGGCTCAGCTTCACAGTTATATTCTGTTCCTAGTTACTTTGACATTTCCATGTTCCCAATTTGTCATCAATAGGAAAACAATTTTTCCCCCAATTAATCCACAACTATTATAATCAAGTAATGTGAGGGAGAGAAATTGTGATTTATGTTTTCTACATCCTCAACAGCAATTTTCAAAGTTGGTGTCACTCTTCTAACTAGAGGAAAAACATAAAAGACTCTATTAAACAACTCTTGAGTTAAAGGGGAAATATAAATCAAAACTACAGAATATGTAGAAAACAATGATTGTTGAAATGCTTTGTATTGGAATTGATGGGATTCATCTAAAGCAGTGCTCAGAGGAAATTCATAGCCTTAAAAGTCTTATATCATTCAAAAAGAAAGAATAAAAATAAGTTAATTAAGAATTAAGATGAAAAAAAACTAGGGAAAAAACCCCTAATAAAACAAATGGAAAGAAAGCTGAGAAGAAAATAATTAATAAAGCTAGAAGTATACAGGAATGCATTAGAAAAAAAGAGAAAAACATAACTAGTTAACCAATAAATAAGCTGGTTCTTTGGAGAAAATCAATAAACTTATACAAATAGAAAGCAACATAAACATGGTAAACTACAGAGGGTGGGAACAGGGTGGAAGATGCGGCAGTGAGCATTTTCTGAATACGCCTTTTTATATTTTTGACTTCTGAGTTATGTAAATCTGCCAAAAAAAGGTGTTTAAAATAACCAACAGAAAAATAAAGTTTGCTCAGACACAAGTAGGGATAAGAAATTAATTTCTGTGTCATTCAGGAGAATTTGGTTGGTTCTAATACTAAAGCATTTTCAAAAAAGCATTAAAAATTCCTACAGTGTATAAAGCAAGTTAGTCTTTTCTATGACTCAGATCATTTTCCTTCTGGAGGCATTAGATAACACCACTTACCCTAAGGGGGATTATAAAGATGGGAATTATATACATGATATATGTCAAGTTCCCAGTGTGGTGTCTGATATATAACAGACTTTGGTTAATGGTTGCTTGGGGTTGCACTGGTTAACTAGTCCTACACTCTCATTTTTTATATGGGGAAACTGATACCCAGAAATGGAGACATAAGAAATATAATTCAAAAATCACAAGAATAGGAAGTTAAACCAGTTACTTTTGCCTTTTTTGTTTGTTTGTTTGGATAGCATGAGTGAAAGTTATCTGATATTGGTATTCTGGGTCAGCAATGAGTTTCAGCTGAATATTTTCAAATATTAAACTATTTTAGTAACACTGTCATATATTAATAACCCAAAGAATAGATGAACCTGTGTATATCAAAATTAACTCCGAGTCATACTATGGCTATTACAGCATTCACTATACTGTACCATAGTCATTTGTTTAATGTCTGCCTTTCCCACCAGCTTGCAAGCTCTGTAAGTGTGCGGGAACATGTCTTAACTTCTTACTTCTTAGTCCTAGTGCAGAGCACAAAATAGATATTTAATATGTATTTGATAAGAGAAGGAATAAAATAACATGTTAACTGAAATAATGCACCTGAAAGTGCTTAGTATGGTGATAAGTACAGAGCAGGTCCTCAAAAAATGCTAAAAGAATCTGAGTCTCATGGGATCTACTTCTAGTAACCAAGAACTGATCATCCTGAGTTTCCTTTCTCTGAGGTCTGACTCCCTCCAGAAGCAATTGTTCAGATTAATTTTCTAAAACATGTCCCTTAAGGGCTAACCAAGAGTTGCTTGTAGTGGTAAACTGCCTCTGTGGATTAGAGTTATATACATTTTCTAAATTATTAATAGGATCATTTGATCCAATACCGGTTGTTCTTTAAAATCATATCTTTGAGATTAAAAAACATTTTTTCCTGATTATAAAAGTAACATATTCATTGCAAAAAATAGATTAAATGGTAATAAAAACATTAAAGTTAACTTCTAGATTCACCACCAAGAGATATCTACTGCCATTATTTGAGTGTTTACACCCATTAATTTTTTTAACCACTTTTAAGTGTACAATTCAGTGGCATTAAGTAAATCCACAATGTTGTGTTACCATCACTACTATCTACTTCTAAAACTTTATCATCATCCCGAACACTCTCCATTAATTTTTCATGCATATATTTATTTAAATATGTACTTTAAATGTTTTTTTTTTACAAAATTTGAATCAGTGTTATATCGTACAAAGCTTTATCTTTTGTTCAAAGTCATGTATTTTGTCATTGTTTTGAACTAGCACCCTGATCAAGCATCTCAGAAATCCTTTTGCGTCTTCCTGAGAATTTCCTTCCTCAAAGTTAATCGTTATCCTGACTTCTAACACTGCAGTTTGAAAAACTGTAATTTTTAAATTAAACGTAATGTATGATTAGGAAATAGGCTTTGGGTATGACGGACAGAGGTTCAAATCCTGGCCATTAGGCATATGAGAGTCTTTATGAACTTCTGTTACCTCATATAAGAAGTAGGACAGACAACATCTTCCCCACCAAGGTTCTTGTATAAAATGCAGTAATGTTTATAACACATTTAGCGAGTGCTGACACATAGCCAGCACTCAATTAATAAGTGTCTAGCGTCGACCTTCATGCTGTAACACTGTGCTCCACAGATGACAGTCATTGTTGGTGTGTTATCATTATTCCCTCTGCACCTACTTTAAATCAGAACCTAATGTGATATTTCCTGGTTTCTCCTCCTGTTCTCCCTTTAATCCACCTGTCTGCTTGCTTTCTATTTTGACATTTCCCTGCACAGTATAACAACAGATGCTACATTATTGTCTGAACTCAACCAATTATACTACAGAAGAATAAACAACAGTAGCTCATTACCCCATTCACTGTGCAGACAATGTCAGTGCCCCAAGTCTCCAGGGCTTTTCCCTAGAATGAAAACAGACCTCAGACATCCCACACCCATGGTCCAAATGTGGAAAACAATGAAGAGATGTTAGGTAAGTTGGCAACCTTGGGATCTGAAAACCCAAGTTTTACCGGCAAAAAAGAACAAAAATACATCAGTAGCTCAGTTTCAAATATACTGGCTAGAAGCAAAGGCCTCCTATAAGTAAACACTGTTGCAAAACAATGACATAAAGGACACCTACACTCGAATAGCAGTCATAGTAAACACCATTGTTAAAATTCTATTTGGTTTGCTCAACAAATAGAGTTTTTCATCTGCATTATTTTAGGTTTGTAACACAACAAGGAAACCTAGTATAAGTTGGAAATATGAACTGATCTTGGACTTTTTGTTTTATTAAAAATATATGAATATTCAAAGCATTCACATCTGAGGGAAGAGAAATGGGGATTTTTCAGAGAGTAATTAGCCAGTGAAGATAGACACCCAGAAAAGACTGTTTCTACACAATTACATTTTTAAACAGGAAGGATAATATACACTTACACTAATCTCTTACAATAATAATCAAAGACTGGCTTAATTTACACACACGCAGGCATATATAAATAACTGCATATACACATTATCTTCTAGGCTTCTATGAGTACCCACCGAATAGCTGTTTATACCTGGCTGAAGCAGAGTGTGAAATAAGCTAAAGTTAACATTCATTAACTCCATGAATTCTTACTGAGCACCTCCTATGTGCCAGGCATTGTTCTAGATGATGGGAAAATAGCAGTGAACAAAATAGATTAAAAAATTCTGCTTACATGGAGCCTATAT